AATTAAGTACAGGTAAATATTTTTATATTTATATACATTCTTGAAATAATAAATTTATCCGTTATTGGTATTGTTTAACTTGAATTAGGTTATACTGATATGATTAAATGGAATTATAGAATCAGTTTTTAATTTCAGCTAAGGAAAGACAATACCAAATAAGTGATAATCATATTGTACACATTTAAGATGTTTAATTTTAAAAATATGCTATTTTTCAGATGAGACATTTCGAGAGAAATACTGCGAAGTATTCTTCTCATCAAACAATGTCGAAGGCACAGGTGAGACATGTTTTATTATTCATTTAAAGCATTCTAGAGACAACTATGATAAAATTGTAATACCGATGTAAATATATAAAAACTGTAAATAAAATCTCTTTCGTATATATATATATATTTACTGAAATCTCAAAATTTAAAATTTCCACCACAGGTTCAACTATTTCTGAAACTGTACCTGATCAAATTACTGTACCAAGGAAGTGTGGGAACAAGTTAGATTCTGTAAGTAGTATATTTTATGAGTTTAAAAATTATAGCTTACATTATGAAGCAGTTATTTCTAAGAAAACAAGATCTGTTATTTTGAAATAAAACCCTTCATTTTATTAATTTATACATTTAACATATTTATGATAAAATACTTTAAGTTTGAATATTTTTGTGAATAGTCTTTATAGATTCTTTAATTAAGTTTTCAGAAACTTACTTTATAGTTATCAACATGTTAATGAAAATGTAATATTTTATAGGAAACTACATGGACCACTTACTCTATAAAAAAGCTTATAGAGCTTCGCAAAGAAATGGATCTGCAGTTTCAAAGTCCAAACTGTAAAAAAATAAAATTATGGGGCCGAATAAGCGAAAATCTCAAAAAGGAAGGCATCGATATAACAGCAGTAGAGGTGGATAGGAAGTGGAGAAATTTAATGCTGACGTACAGGAGGAGGAAAGACCAGATGAAACGATCTGGAGGTGGGCAAGTTCCCTTTTGGGAATTTCAGGACGATCTAGATGCTTTCCTTGCTTCAAAAGCAAGTGTTTCTCCTCCTCCTGATACGTTATTATCATCATTATCCTCAGCAACTGAGGAAAATGTTGAGGAAAATGAAGCCTCTACTTCAGACAATCTCCTGGAGAAAGAACAAGCACCACCAACAAAAAAAAGAAGAAAAGTCTGTTCCAAAGATGAGCCTCCCAAATGGTTTCAAGAATATATCAAAAAACAAGAGGAGGTGGATGAACAACGGTGGAAAAAACTGGAGGAAATAGAACTACAAAAATTAAGCATTTTAAAAAATATTTTAAATATTGTTCAGAAAAGTAAAAAAGAATAAATTTAAAATGTTTATAATCAAATGTGCTTGTCTCCTAAATTTTAATTAAAAACTGGTTTTATATATCGGACTCAATTATAATGATAATCATTTCAACTTTCCATAGGCAGGGTTAATGTAATTCTAGTTCTTTTGCTAATTTCTCAACTATTCTCTAATCCAATCATATCCTGACTAAAAACAAATTTTCAGGATATTTTAGGTTTATATTCTCTTAAACTGTTGTTTTTTGTATGATATAATTACCTGAATTTTGAATTTAGATTTATCACACTTTAGATCTCACACTATCTTTCAATGTTATCCAGTCAACAACTTTTTTCATTTTACTTGATTTTTACATAATTATTGAAATGAAAATATTTTTTGAATATAGTAAGAAATAAAATACTGAATGTTTGTCTTTTATAATTTTGTCAGTGAGATTAATTTAAAACTCATAAAACATAAAAGAAAACTATATTTTAGTAAACTAGAAATTAATGTACTACTTTTGTTAAAAAAAATATATACAGTGGTACCACAGGATACGAACGCCCCAGCATACGAAATTTTCAGGATACGACATGAAATTCGAACATCTTTTTGCTCCACGATACGAACAAAAACTCACCATACGACGTTACATTAGTTCGCATTTTTCATTTGTTTTCCTTACTACAGTTATTTTTTTTTATGTATTACTTGGCTTTAATTTGAGTATGTTTTTCGCATTGGAACGAATTATTTGGTTTAACATGTAATCGTATGGGAAAAGTTGATTCACCTTACGACATTTTCATGATACGATCTCAGTTTCGGAACGGATTAATTTCGTATCCTGAGGTACCACTGTATAATTTATAAAATAAAAATTTTGTAAATATCCATGTGTTAGCACATCCTTCATAGCTTACAGTAAATTAGTTTTTACTGTAATTAGTTTTCAAATGGGTTTGTTACTTTTAATTAAAATTATTTTCAAATTCAAAGTAAAACATGTTTGATGCATTCCGTATTCGAATTGTACTGGTCAAAAGCCTGAAGACGACCATGATTATGAACAAGAACATTTTAATTAAAATTTGTTTTTACTGGGATATAATAAAGTTCTCATGTTGATTTGTATATTACTTTTCTGAGACTTGCATATTATTTTAAAAAAAAGAAATCAAACTTTTTATTACATAAGCTTCATTGTTGATTCCTTTCTTTTTGTACAGGACTCAATAGGAAATGCAATTTTTCCTTGGGTCAGGAGAAAACTTAGGGGCCCTTACAAAATTAATGCCATTTTTACTAACAAAATAAATCTCTAAAACTGCTTTTTTATTAATAAAGCATTATTGTGTTTAATTTATTCAAAAAATGGCAAGAGAACTCTATTCTCACACTCCATACAAGCTCTCAATGGCTGTTTTTTTAAGAACTTTTTTCTTGGATTCCCAGTTTTAATTCAGCCATAGAAAATGCCTCGTTTTGTATTTTCTTCTTTTGTTCATCAGTATGACATAATGTTGAGTATTTTGAATCTTAGCCCAATTTATTGTCTTTAATGGCCTCTGTGTAAAACTACAAACGCATTACATACTTCTGTAAAAATTTAATTCAATAAGAATATACTTATAATAATAAAAAATGCTTTTAACCCACGACTATAAATTAGACTTAATAAATAGGGTATAACAATTGGTGTGATAAGCCCTGCAATTGTTATACCCTATTTATTAGGTTATCTAATTCTGTCTAAGAATATACTTGTTTTTAGACCAAAATAAGGAAAAAAATGTTCAATAAAAGTAATTGAGTTTTCCCTACTTTTGAATTTAAATAATCTTAGTCAACAAGTGTAAATAAGCGAGTTTTAAAATATGAATGTAGAAAAAGAATGAAACAATTTTTAGCTTCTTGGTAAAAAAGACATTTGTTGTTTGTAATGTTTCTATAGGGAGCCCTTCAATTGATAGATGAGTGAATTTGTGATAAACATCTTATTAAGAACACTGACAATAGATTGTATAAAACTATTCTCTACATTTATTAATTTAACTACAAGACAATTGTAAATTATATTTTCAATAAACATTTCAATTCTGCATCAATAGATCTGCTAATTGATTACGTTTTACTTCTGCAGCTGTACGATTTCTTGTAATTGGGTCTTCTGCAGGTTCATTATAATCATCAACAAATGCATCCTCTGTACAGTCAATATCACCTTGATTAATGCATAAATTGTGCAATATACATGATGTCATTACGACTTTTGACATTGATGAAATGTTTTCCATGTCCAAATATTTCAGACGACGGAATCGCCCTTTTAGCAGACCTATGGTTTGTTCTACCACAACTCTGATAGAACTGTGTCTTCTGTTAAAATTTTTCTGTTTTACAGTAAGATTACCATAATCTTTATATGGTACAATTAAAAATGTATCTAATGGATACGCTGAATCTCCAAGTAAATAATACTTATCTCCTAAATACCTTGAAGATTCGTTTAAAAACCTATTATAAATAGGGCTCTGCTGCCAAACCCGAGAATCATTGGCACTACCAGGCCAACCAACAAATGCATCAATAATTCGCATTTCAGAATCACAAATTATTTGCAACAGGATAGAGTGCCTTCCTTTCCTGTTGTAATAACTCTGGCTGTCTTCCTTTGGAGCTTTTATATATATGTGTGTTCCATCAACACACCCAATTACTCCAGGCAATGAAACAGAACGTAATTCTTCAAACTTAAAAACTGTTCTTTCCAAGTTATCATTTGGCCATGTAATAAACTTGCCAATCATACGACACATTTTTTGGCAGAAGTCTATAAAGATTGTGTGTGCATGACCTTTATTGACACCAAATCTGTCTCCAATACCTCTAAATGATTCTTGGTTAGCAAGAGTCCAAATACTCAATAATACTTCCTTTGTAGAAGAAATAAGAGGTCGTCCTTTTTTTACTTTCATTTCTCTCTTTGAATTTAATAATTTTATAACTTCCTATAAAAAATAAACGCATTATCAGTTAATTTAGAAATTAATAGAAAATTTAGCTTATTTTAAGTTAAAAACTTACTTCTGTTGAACTTTTTGTGAGTCTAAAATGAGATTTGAAGTCATCCATAGAATATGAAGGTACGACCTCTTCAACGTAATTTCGTATCTTCTGTCGCTTAGATTTTTTACGTTCATTGGAAACAGCGATGCCAACCATTAAATTTTCATACCTCCTTTTTTTATTCTCTTGTAATTCTTTAAATAATATGTTACTTTCTAAAACTGAAATCAGCGAACAAGGGACAGCGTCCATTTTGCTTCAGCGACAAGCGTTTGTAAAATGCCATGCAGCGACATGCAGCGGTTGCTGCTTGTGACGTCATTTACGCTACATTTTCGCTGCATAAAAAAACGCGGAGACACTGACACACTTATTTAATTTTAGTTTTGTTTTGGTTGCTATGCCTTGACTCTGGTCTGGCATAGTACACAGCCACTGGTGTGAACCGAGTATAACTCACAAAACCCAACATAATAATAATAATGTTTTTCCAAAGGAAAGTCAAAATTGAATTAAAAAATTTTCAAGTTGGTGGCAATTTCTAAGTTTATTCTTTGATTTTCTTGAAACAGTTCCTTACTGCTGCCATGACTGGTGGAATTAGCTGGTTTAGATTTCTTTTGGAGGAGGGATATGCTTGGGACCACAATGTAGGATTTGATGGACTTGTTCTGGTACTGTAATATTGGAGTAATTGTGATACATTTTACAGGCACACTTTTTCTTATGCTTGCTGTAATCTGACAATGAGGTTACAAGCATATCCCTCCTCTGAAAAGGGATCTAAACAAGCTAATTTCATCAATTATTGAATTCAAAATTTAGTAACTCTAAATTGCAGGTCAAATATTTAAATTTGAGTTAGTTAAAAAAAATGCTTACAAATTTTACTTTAATTTTTTAATCTATATCAAAAAAATGACAGGAAACTCTATATAACTGTAAAGAAAATATTGTGTTAAATAACAGTGTAAATTAACTTTCATTTGTGACTGGAATTTAAAATTGGCGTATAACCTTCCCGTATCATATAACTCACACTTCCTTTCAAATTATCTTTCAAAGACAGTAACCCATGAGTTATTTACTCAAAATCACAGTAAATATTTTAAGATTGTAACCATTATGTTTACCTTATTATTGTTCTTATGTTCTGAATCATTCAAAATTGTTTTCAAATTATTTTAAATTAATATAAGTAGTCAATTGAAGTATTCAGAGCACTAAATGTATTGTTTAACATCATATATGTATATAAAAACAATAATCTTAAAACTTTAATTATTTTCTTAATTTTTAATAAACACAAATAAAATACATTGCAAATATTTATTTATTTTGGGTAGTACAAATAAGAAAACATTATTATTTATTAACAAAAAAGACAAACTCAACAAAAACAAAGTAAGATAGTAAAAAATGCCAAGTTTTGGATTTCCAAAAAAAAAAAACGGGTCCTCTGTTTTTTAAGTAAATATGGCCCTATTACTTACTCTCCCAGGCTTCAGTTTGAATCATTTAACACAAATAAAATATTGTTTTAAATTGAAATTTTTTTAATTATCTAGAAACAACGTGAGCTAGATCCAGCCTGAGGGCTGTAGTTTGGTGACTCCTATGATACAATATATGAAAAAAATATATATAATTTAATGATACTTACATATTTATTAATAAGAGATTGTCTTTCCCTAGGATCAAATTCATAAGCTGTTAAATCAGACACAGTATCGGGTTTGTGCATACCACTAATTGTGATAAGAAGATATATAGAACCTGCTCCATCTTCAAGCTCTTGCCAAATATTATGTGTTTTTTCTGGAGTAAGACTGCTAAGATCTATTGTGCATCTTTGGAATAATTAAAATTGCTAAATTAGTAGTATAATAATTTCACAGTAGGAGTATTTACATGAATATTATATTTATTATATTGAGATCTTATCTGTGAAATTTGAATCTGAAGAATCATCATATTTTATAAGTATTTCCTTACCTATTATAATATTAATATGATCCACTATTTTAGATAAGATTCATTAAGTTATATACAAATCATATTGCTCTCTTATTTTGTTTATTAATCTATTATTAAAGTTATTAAACATTTATATGATAAAAAAGTTATCATGTAAATTAAATTTATATATACAGGAAATTTTCTAATTAATGAATTTGAGGGGACCAATATTTTGAGTGTTTGATATAAGGAGAATTCTATATTTGGAGAATAACAACAGTAATCAGTTATAACTTTGTAAGCATAAATGTTTTTATAAATAAATTTACCTAATAAAGCATGGAAAAAACTAAATATGTATGACACTTGTTTAGTTTCTTTGCATTTCAGTTGTAAACAGAGGCTTAGCTGCTGTGGAGCAGTTGGAGCAAACTGCTCCAGACTCATGAATCATGGGGGGCAAATTAGAAAGGGCAAAATAAAAACTTGTAAAAACATTTGTAAACAAATTTTGGGATTTAATAATTAATCAATTAACCATTAGATTTGAATCTGTTGGACAATTTTGTACACTTTTTAAGTGCTTATCACCTGCATATTTTGTCATGTCATCTGATTTTAAAATATTCTGGAAGAATCAGAACTTTTACAATCGGCATATCCCTCTGATATTTGGCCTAGTTTTAAACTCAACTGCTTTGATTTAAAATATGTTTTTATAGTCAGGTAAAAGAAATTATTTCTATAAGCAAAGTTGCTGAACTACTTTTAATTCACACCACAGCCTCAAATAGGTTCTCCGACATTATTGCAGCATTTCTCATTTTTTTTAACTTTACAAGCGACAACAGTGACAGCAGAATAAAGTTTTTCAATACTAAAATTAATCAAAACTTATTTAAGAAGCAGCATGTCACAACGCCATCTTAGCTCCGGCTACTATATAAATTGAAAAAAACAATAACTTGTCATCGTGATCTGGAGAAAGTGATTGACCGGTTTGCAAACAAAAGAGTGAGATAACAACAATCTTAAATTTTTTTATGTATTATTATGTATTTGTGAATCACACCTAAATTCAAACTTTCCAGCAAAATAAAAGTCCAAAATTTTAAATATCGAACGTTTTTGGCCACTAAATTTATCGGCCTTCCTCAGGAAATACAAACTGAAACAACTTTGTTGTGTTTTGTTAGCACAATGTTGCTGTTGAGAAACAACTTTGCCTTGTAAATTTTTAAAATAACAAAAACAGCTGTGACGTATCATGTATGACATATATTATGAGTCTAGATAGCGTTTCCACGTAGATGATATTTGAATGACATCAGTGTTGATGCAGGTTCCACTCCTGCTCGCCTTGTAGATCTCCACTGCTTCGAAAATTTTATTACTTTGCCTGTCAAAGACCTTGTGTATTAGCTAGGCCTGGTCCCAACAGGGGGAAATCCCCAGATCATATTGAGGTTGTATTTATTATGTGTTTGTTATGAAACTAAACTTGCATATATTTTGTCAATACAGTTTATATACTACATAGTAAATATTATTAGGTACTCCGTACTTAAAGAATTACATTTAGTTTTATCATTATTTTTTGTATTTATTCAATTGAATATGTTATTGTTGAGATGCCTCGAATCTCAAACAAATTGTTATTAAGTAAGGTTTTAAATTGAAACAATTAGATATATGTTTTTAAATTAAATGTTCAAAATAAATTTCGCAAGACCTCTTCCGAGGAACAAGGAGGCGCACCGATTCTACTTGCTCCGGGTCGCTGAATATGTAGCTACGCCACTGCTCTGACCTAAATTTAATCCAAATTCTTTGGAGACAGCCAAAGAAACTTGTTAGTCAGAAGAGATCAAAGAATAAAACACAACCAATAGAAGCAATCTATACTCTTGGTTTCAATGCTTGGCTAACTCCATGGTAAGGCGTTGTAAGATTGTAATTGAGGCAAAAGGTTTCCCAACTAAAATCGTAACTGACACGAATAAAAGTTTTGAATGTATTTTGAGTTTTGATGTAACTTTTGATAAGATAAATTTAATATATTCTGCACAAATTATCCTTTTAATGAAATATAATGCAAATATACGATATTACCCTGAAACAGTTTGATACTATGAATCATCAAAACTCAGAAATCCACATTTTCCAAAAGTTTCTACTAATCTATCTTCTACTGTTTATAGAAAATTATATTTATAGTAATAAACTTATAATATGTATAAAGTTTTTATTTATTTTAATTTTTTTATGCATGTATACATGTAAGTAATAATATAACGCTCAGCTTTAAAATTAATTNCCAAGAAACAAGGGGCGCACCAATTCTACTTGCTCCAGGGTGCTGAATATGTACCTATGCCACTGGTTGTAAACCATTTATAATGTCACTGCAGGCTGTAATACTCATATATTCCCAGAAATCAGCTGAGATTCAAGCAAAAGGATGCAAAAGACTATTATATTGATGAGGAAAATCCTTAAAACTTTGGCTTTTAATTAACAGGCTTAGCTTTTAATGTTAGAAATCTGTAGATTAGAGGGATAGAAGTCAAGAATAAATGCTTTTAATATACAAAACATTGTCACAATGCCAGACTGCAATTTTTAATCATATTTTTAGTTTATTTAATTTAAAATATATCTTCTTCATCTCAAATTAGTAGTGTCTTGTCCCTGTATATCATACTTTTTCTGCTAGCAATAGTCATGCTGGTCATCTATCTAACTCCTTTCAGGGAAAAATTTTTGAAATGAAATAATGTGACTTCCAGTACACACTGGAAAATCATATATAATTAATCAGGCCTCATGCCCCTATGTTTTCCATATCTGGTCTCAACTTTTATATACCTAACTCTGTTCTTGAGATTAAGGATGGACAGACAGCCAACAGTGGGAATTTATAGGTGTACAATTTTTTCAAATTACAGCCCAAAAAATTGGTTGACACAAAAACTGCTAAAAAATTTCTTTAAAAGTAGCCCAACTCACAAGAAATTATAGGATCTGGCAGCTCTGCCCTGTGTCTATTTGAAATCTTCCATAATTATTAAAGATACTAATGCTCTCCTCAAATGAATATATTTGATTTAGTTTGTTGTAACATGAATGGCAGGAATTTGAATTAAAGGGAATTATACCATGAGATTTGAAATTCCATATGTTTTGTATACTGCATTTGTTAGAGATTGTCAGTTGTTTGATATCTAGAGAGAAATTCATTATACTAATTTGGAATTAGGGAATTTCCTGTATATTGTGTATATCCACTGTTGCTCAAAAAATAAGCAACAATGAGATTCTTGTGAATAAAACAATTATTATTTTATTGATTTGAATGAAAGTTGAAGAATAACTAAGAGTTATGGCTCTTACATTTTGATAGCCAACTATAGCATCAAGATGTTCAATAGTGATTTTTGTCTAACGGCATGTATGATGACTTTGGACTGCAATGCAGTCTTGACAACAACAATTTATGCTAGCAATGACATTGTTGATCAAGTTTTGTGGTGTTAATTTTCATTCTTGTAGAAGAGCTTGTTTGAAACTTTGAAAAAGAATGGGATAGGATACTGAAACTTATAATCAGTCTTCCTAACATGTTCCATAAATGGTCTATTGCAGGGGTCGGCAACCTGCGGCTCGCGAGCCACATGCGGCTCTTTGGATGTGAAGCTGCGGCTCTTTAGTTCCATACGCAAATATTATTTATTTTATCAAAAAAAAAAAAAAACATTTAAAAATCGTTCTGAATCGATTAATGAGGATTAGGCACTGATTCTATCTCTCAGCCACTTGTACTCGCTTTTCACCGCACCCCTCCCCGTGACCCCGTCCTCGGATGTTTCTATTATCTAATTTGTTGTGAAAAACACTACTTATATATGAATAAATAGATATTTTTTCTTATGAATAAATAGATTAGTTTTTTTAATCAAAAAACTTTATTTATGTGAGTACTATTTATTGTTGGCAAGAAAAAATTTTGTGGCTCTTTAAAAACTTTGAAATTTTGTAAATTGTAATTTTGGCTCTTCCGACTCAAAAGGTTGCCGACCCCTGGTCTATTGGATTCAGGTCTGATGTTCTTGAAGGCCATTGCATGTGAAGAATTGTTTCACTCTGCAGGTATCTCTCAACCAATTGCACTCTGTGAGGTCAAATGTTATCATCCATAAATATTGCATTTGAACACATTACAGTGATAAATACAGTGACATTACATGTGGGTATAGAATTTCATTTTAATACTTATACCTATCAATGAACTACCTGAAAGAAAATGTGAAGCTCAGTGTGGCTGTTTATTGCTATTCTTGCCCATACCATCAACCCACCATCTCTATAATGGTCACTTTCAAAGATATTTGTTACAGGTGTCAAGTCCTGGATTCTCTTCACATCAAAATTTGGCAAGAATCACTCTAAAGACTGAATTGTGACTCATTTCTTTTCCTTATTTAGTAAAGAGTACTGAGACCATTGCAGAGACATGAACAAGTAGTCTCTTTACATACAGTTTACCCTCCAGCAGTTACCCCATGACACAGTTTGTTGAGATAGTCATCTTTCTGTGGTAGCAGAGAAGTTCAAAGCCAGCTGTTGCATTGTCAGTTATCTATGATGCCTTGCACATTGAAGCAATAAGCAGCAATCTGTTGTGGTGGTACACCAGTATATTTTTGTTGTTTTTATTTTATATATGTATATATAAGAATATTCTATTCCCCTTTCTCTTTGTTCTGTTTCTATACTTTCTGGAACTTTCGTCTGAATGTGGGCGGTCAGTGACCCAATTTCGGGACAAAGGAGTGAAGATAGCCCAGAGGGCAAGTGGGGGACGATAAGGACACTTTTGGCTTTGGACCGGAGGAGGAAAGACCGTCGGAGAGAGCGGTCTCGAGTTCGGTGTTGCTTCGGCCAGAAGGGTTACAAAGAACACTAAAGATAGAAATAGCATTGGAAGAGAAAAAGAACTTTGGAAAAGCCGAGATTTAAGAACGAATTTTGGATCCTCGCATGTGCTCCGTCCCCATAGAAGAAAAGAATTCCAAGACGAAATCATCTTGTGGCCACCACCTCAGTCAACCATTCGGGTACCCGTTCCTTACTAGGAATTTCCATTTTTATTCTCCCATTCTATTCTAATTCCTGTCCTTCCTTTCCTCTTCTAGTTATAAGTAGTTTTAAGTTAGTGATTAAGTGTCTCCTTTGTTACGCGAAAGAAGAGTTTAGCTCCGCTGTAAATTAAAAGTCGGTGTTGTTTGTTCCCTTTTGTTTAATTAAAGTGAGGAACAAGGAGGTCGGAATCAACGAACCTTTCCTGTATATATGTTCATACAGTAAAATAAAGCACGTCTTATTGTTTTATATTCCTGTCTCTTTGTGAGAATTCATTCATCACCACGTGCTCACCACAATGGCGTCCGCGACAGGATTCCGACAGTAAAATCTCCTTGTCCTTACGTTATCTGTTGAACTTTCGATTGTACGCGTATTTTAGTCCGTATAAGTTTTTTTTTTTTTGTTATTTTGTGTTTTCTTTTTTCATATATATATATATATCATGGCTACAAACAATCCTGTAGATAGTACGATCCATGGTAACGGATCTAATGACGGTGTTCCGTTAGTTGTAACGGGGTTTTTGGGGATGATTCCCACGTTTTCTAATACTCAAGGTGACTCTGTAAATATTAAACAGTTTTTTTTTTCCGTTGAAAACATTGCCACCCTAGCAGGATGGAATGATAGGGTAAAGATAGCAGTACTACAAGCAAGACTAAAGGGGGAACCTCTTTCTACTTTCTTTTGCCTGTTAGAACAGTATCCTTGTTCGTACGAAGATATTAGACGCGATTTAACGAAGTGTTTTGAAAGAAAGAGAACTGGAGAAAAGAAAGTATTAGACCAACTGCTAAATTTAAAACAAGGTGCGAGCGAATCCGTAACGGACTTTGCCGTGCGGACTAAAACTCTGTTGTCCCGCGCTGTAAAGGATCATGCTAAGATTGACTCATTGCGCGATGATATAATTAAGGAAAGGTTCATTCTAGGTTTGAACGGCAGGATAAGAGGGAATGTATTGCGGCGGTCCCCAAAATCTCTGGAGGAGGCTTTTGAATTTTCGGAAATCGAAGATAAGATCGAATCTGATTGCAATAACCATACCGAACGTAGGGGGGTTTTTACTTTAGTGGAGGAAAACATAAAACCTGTTAACAGCGAGCCAGATAACATATTGGTGTCAAACGTTTGTCATGGTGATAGGATCGACAGACTAGAAAAAAGGGTTGATGCCCTAGCTGAAGCCTTTGAAAAGTTCGCTAGTAGTAGCAAAGACAAGGACCACCGAAATGCGGATATAAAGTTCTATGATTGTGGGCGCCGGGGGAATTTTGCTCGTGATTGTCCAAACCATCGAAGGGCGAATTTAAACTTGTAAAGGAGCGTTATGATAGCCAGTATCGCGCTCCTAGTGTAACACTAAACCTGGCTACGCGCGTCTTTTTTTCTGATAAATACCTCCCACTCATTAAGGGTAGGATGAATAATCTAGACGTAACCCTGCTCATAGATACTGGAGCAGAAAAGTCCTTGATAAGCTCGTTAGTTTTAAAACGTATACCGCCGAATTGCATCAAGAGAGCTAGAGCTAATGAAGAATAACTTGGAATAAGGGGCATAAATGGGGTGGTAACAGAGTGCGAACAACTCGTTAGTGTCACCGTAAGTTATAAAGAGGTAGAACACCACGTAAACATACCGTGTATGCCCTTCCCTGAACCCGCGGAATACGAGGCTATATTAGGGATGGACATCATTAAGGACATCCCGAAAATCACCGAAGATCTCGGCAAATGGATGAATGTTAAGCCGCGTAACGCAATTAACAGCGTCGTCTCTCCAATAGATTGCCTCGCTAACACCCCTATCCAAGTCGAAGGACTTGATGATCTTGGGTCGATTGAGCTAGCAGATTACGACCTTAACATATGCCATACAAAGAGTAATAGGAATTTTGTAGCCGATTTATTGCCGAGGCCTGAAAAGGCTATACATTTTAATGACCTGCACACGCGTGATGTTGTCTCTGTTAATCCTGATCTATGGAAAAAAATTATCAAATCTCAGGAGGAGGATAAGTTATTTAAAAATTTAAAGCACCATTTTTCCAACCAAGCCCATAACCCGGTAGGCGACAACGATAACATTCCACCGGAATTTTCGCTAGAAGGCGATGTTTTGATCCACAAAAAACCAGGGCAGTTTGGTCTCCGTCAATGGAAACAAGTTTGCGTGGGAGAGAGTGTAGTCAAGGAGTGAATATGGGCATTTCATTGTTCCCCCTTGTCGGGTCACATTGGTTTAGAAAAGACTTGCAACCTGATAGATCGATACTACTTCATAAAAAACCTCCGCGCGCACGTAAAACGCATCATCCGTAATTGTAAGGTCTGCCAGAAATATAACCTCCACCGTGGCCGTGCCCCATTTCAGGAGACTGAAGTTGCTAGTTTTCCATTCCAAAAAATAGCGATAGATATCATTGGCCCCCTCCAGAGATCACAGAGCGAAAATCGGTATATTTTTTCAATGGTTGATGTCTACACACGTTTTGCTGAAGCCGTACCAATGAAGGACCAATCGGCGCAAAGTGTAGCCGAGGCCATATTTAATCATATTATTTGTAGATACGGTTGCCCTAGCATGTTAATCTCCGACCGCGGTAGTAATTTTACATCCAAAACATTCCAGGACGTTTGTAATCTACTAGCAATCAAGCATAATGTGACAACAGCTTATCGGCCATGTGCCAACTCCATTTGTGAGCGCTTCAATAAAACCATAGTTGGCACTATGGCCCGCATTTCACAGGGGGATAACCGTAACTGGGATGT